ACACACACACACACACACACACACACACACGCACACACACAGCGCGCGCACACACGCACGCACACATACACACACACACACACACACTCTCTCTCTCTCTCTCTCTCTCCTCATTTTATACCCCTACTTTCGCCATCCCCACCACCTCCCCAACTCACACACACCACTGTACACATTATAATATAATGTGAAAGAGCTAAAATAATGTAGTGTCAAGAAACAATATGAATAATGTATGATGGAAGTTACTGAGATTAATAGAAACTTGACGTGATCCGCATAGAAAAAAACACACAACTATGCTAGAAAACAAACTGAAAGTGTTTGATAACAAAAAGTCAATTGATACTGTACCAGTGACGCTGTCCCATGCAGATCAAGTCTACAATCAGATACTATACAAAGCTGGACAAAGTTAGCACACGACAGTTTCCAATCACTATATAATCAAACGTTCTTCATTGCACTTCTCAGTTCTCATAACACTGTTGTAACAAAGTGGGGAAGTGTGTCAAATGCTTATTATAGAACGTGGTGTCTTGCTGGGGTGACGGTGGAAAGGGGGGGGGGGAAGGGAGGGGGTAGGCCGGCCTAACTGGAGCCAAGGAGTAGCAGTAGAAAGGCTGCAGAAAGAGTCAGGAGTCCAGTGGAGGGGGTATAGGAGGTGAGGGGTGGGGGCAGAAAGTGGAGACGAAAGCAGACGAGAGAACATTGTTAGAGAGCAGGAAAGGATGTGAAAGGGGGCTCTCGTGGCCTAGAGGTTAAAGTGTTGGCTCTCATTCATAGGTCCATGGTTCGAATCCAGGTAGCGACGAAAAAAAATTCTTCTCTAAAATTGTCACCTTAACCTATTGGCCACGAGAGCCCCCTGAATTAGTCAAAGTTGTAGATCACTGTCAGATTTTACTTTTTCAACGAAAGAAGATTCAATTCCACGATTTGAAATATCCTTTACCTAGTATAGGAATCACCCAAGAAGGCGAAATACATGCCTGCAGACTTATTGCCTATTCACTCCATGACCAAAGCTAGGTGTTTATCTTAACAGTAATTCCCCCCTCCCCACAAAAAATAACATTTAGAATAAGGTGTATGCTCACGTTTTTTAAAATGGTAATTCGCGGAAATATTGCAAACAACCGGAAATAAACTCGTGCGCAGATTTACACCATTTTCGGAATGTCGTGTACGTCCAATGGTAACGGATTTCAAGAAAACAAAAATCTGATTATATTATGTAGATTCCACCGCATAGTTCTTTGACGGGGGGAAGATGAATTTGAATAATTTATCTGTTGGCTCCAATTTCGTCGGTCGGAGAACGTAGAAGTTCTGAACATAGAAATGTCCTTGGCATAAAACTAGAAACAAAACAGACATGAGAAATGCTACAGAAGTGTTCCCCGAAGCCTAGCCTCCGTCCACTCCACTCCTCCCCGCTTTTCCCCCTTGGCTCTCTACTTATCACCCACCAACATTTTAAGACTGACTCTGAGACCGAATTATCCAAGAATACGCATAGTAGTGCTTCGTAAAAGATCATGTTCTTTGTGTAGTATTGTTTTTACTTATCATCATTATAATTTTTTAGAACATAGATGTCTGAAAACCTAAACGACACAATTTTATTCTTTTCGGAGGCGGGCTTCAACACGGCCTGTACATGGGTCCAGTATCTTTCCATGAACACTGGCATATTATTTTGTCGTGCCGCTATGGTTGTGTCTTCCTCTCTTATATTTACAGAAAAAAGTATAGCGTAAACAGATTCACAAAAAGCATTTGTTGATATGAAGCCAAAAAATGATAGAAAGTACATTAGTTTTAGAGGTTCCTTAAGAAGGAAAACGTTATCATACAATAGCGAACTACATTAACAGCACCCAGCATTTCTGGTATAACATAGCCTAACGTTTTTAGATATTATCTATAATTGTATGACTAACAATAAAAACGCGTTTAGTTGTATTCGGTTCATACATAAGCTGGACAAAAAATGTTCACTGAAAACACGAGCAGCTTTATTTGACAATAATTATTGCCATTCGTACAATATTAATAGGTCTACATGTATTGGGTTCATTAATAATTAATACGTCGAAGTAGGCTATGTCCTACTGATAAAGGTCTTACAGTAAGTTATAAATTTGCCATCATGGACATAGATAATGAGTCTACGTTAGTTTTTGATTGACGTTTGCGGAATTATCGAGGATAATTTGACGATTAATGTTACCATTAGCATACTGTAGGTGGGAGAAAGATGGAAACTCTAGACTCCCAAAACGCAGTTTCCTTTTTTAGACGATCTTTGTTTCAACCAAGGATTTCCCCCGTTGCATGCAACATGAGATCGAATATTAATATTCTTTCTATTATTATCACAATTAGGACACCTCTTAACAGACAAAAATGCTTTAATGGACCAAGGCGTTGTCATTTAGTTCTTGCTTTTATGTATAGATGTCCTGCGTTTCGGATATAATTTTCTGTCTCTTGGTATTCAAAGTTCAAGTGTTCTCAAATCAGCCGTAAAACATCTGCTAGACAATCCGATTCAAAACTGACCAGTTGCTGTTAGCATACCGTGACTATAACATCTAACGTTTTGGGTGTGCTGTAAAATCAAACAAGCTCATTTGTTCCCCAGCACCAAGAAGGACTTATATCCAACGATCTCACAGATCTGTCCCCGTGGTTTTATGCACCCCGCATAATTTATCATTTTTTGCATAATTTCTGATTATTTTCCTTTATCATTCTTTGTTAAAATGAAAAGAATCGCATAATTTCACATTTTTGGGCTCAGTTCGCATAATTTCAGAATTTTCCTTGCATAAAACGACGGGACAGACAGATTTAATCCTCAACTACGTGTTAACAACTTACGTCCACACTGCACTCAAGAGTTTTCGGAATCATCTCCAACATTGTCAACATAACATTTTTCGTTAAAATTACGCAATGCAGTGCACTGCAAAGCACACAGAGAACGAAAAAGGGACGATTTTGATTACATTGAAAAGACATTTGAATGAAAAGCGCAGAAAGTATCGATAGCGGGCCTTCACTGATTATGACTTTGACATTAAACAAACGCACTAGGGCCTTACTGCGGTTCTCCTTTCTTGTGTGTGTGTGTGTGTGTGTGTGTGTGTGTGTGTGTGTGTGTGTGTGTGAGTGTATGTGCGTGTGAGTGTGTGTGTGTGCTATTCATATCATGTACAATGATCCCAAATTTTTCCTTGTCGGTCTTTACCGAGAATGTCCGATTTGATGACCTAACGTGTGATTGTAAAACGAACTTCATCAGCATTAATTCACATTCTCCCAAAGTGCATAGTAGGGTCGGGTAAAGGTTAAAGGCAATACAGTGATGTTGTTTTCGTTATGTACATGTATTGCCACTTTAAAGGACATTCTTGTATATATAGACAGTTATTGTTAATTTATTAGATGAGAATCACAGCGCAAGTCTGTTTGCAACAACCGAATACCAACCCGATTACTACCAAACAGATTCCCAAATGTCCAGATCCTAGTCCAAAAATCTTGGGTCGAATTTTTTTGTTCTCCTCCAGCTTGTCACATGCGCTTCTTTAGTCTTAGTAGAGGTTTTACGGCGTTCGCAACAGCATATGGTCATATGAGCGCAAAGGGGTGGATGTCAACAGAGAAGTACTTACATGGAATCTGACTTACTCTGCTCACATCTCAAGCTTCAACAGCACAAAATATGCTTCGACTATCAAGGCACCCCGGAAAAAGCGGGTCATAAGAGAGTGGCAAACATACAAAAGAAGTAGAGGAAAATGATGATAGTAAGGATTAGGAAAGAAAAAGCAGCAGTTCCCTGTTGTAGTTCAGGCACAGTTATGAGCATTACATGGTTGGATCAGCCCATTTACAATTCTACTGTGCATTAGAACGAGAATGTCCCCCCTTTGGGAATGGCCTAAAGACACTTCAGTCAGTGGCACCACCTCGGGCGGTACATGATGCGCTTCAAAACACAAAATTGGCTCTGAGCAGGAGAGACGATAAGTGCAGCTCACATGACCGGTGTATGGAAACTGTCAATAATTGCAAAAACCCACAGATTTAAATAGCCTGACACAACAGTTAAAAAACCCACAATGGAGTCTGAGCTCTTAATTTGCTAAAACCAACACAAATGACCTATCACAGCGTTCACATTGTGGCAGACACACCAGAAGTATTTTGATGTTGTTTTGTTATGAATATATGCAACTAGAATCATCATCATCATCATCATCATCATCATCATCATCATCATTATCATCATCATCATCATTATCAATTGCCAAACAACTTTCCTTTTTCCTGATTATGTCTTTTTTTCAAGCATAACAATAATTACTAAAATGTTGACACATGTTTTCCATAACTTGCAAATAGTATTAGCACCAAATCAGGTCAGGACACGACACACACAAACACACACACACACACACACACACACACACACACACACACACACACACATACACACACACACATACATACATACACAAATAAATAAAGGAAAAAAATGTGCAACTGGAATAAATAGATCAGCTCATTATTTGTTTCAACATCATTACTGGGGTCAATCTGCAGGTCCTATTTGAAAATCAAACCTCAGTTCACACTAAATAATTTGAATGAAAATTACTGTGGGCCAACTCCCCCCCCCCCCACACACACACCTTCAATTAAAATAGGAAGGTTTTGGGGGTGGGGTTTTTTGGGGGGGTTTTTTTTGCATGTAGAAGAATTTTCAAGAAACCAATTACAGTCTAAGCATAGCACTATCGATTTCAGTTTTCACCTTACTAAAAAAACAACAATTATCTTGAGGAGGAAAAGGTAACCACAGGAAAGCAGAATGTCATTTCTGGAACGCAAAATTTTATTCAGTGAAGTAATACTTAGCATCTCAGCAAACAGTCAAGTTAGAAAATTCATAATAAAAAACTCAATTTTACAAATTTTCTTTCCTTTCAGAAAATAGTGAATCTGAAAACCGTCCAAATAGGCAAATTCTGACAAATTCCAAATACCAAGCAGATTTTGGGGAGTAAACTTTTCTTCCCAATATTTTGTACTTGTTTTCACAAAACAGTTAATCTGTCTGTTTGAAGGTTTCCAGATTCTCTTGTTTTTTTTACAATAACAAAATTACAAGCCTCAATGTGAGCTTCATTCAAAACTGGGATAAATAAGTACATATTTACACAAAATCTTCTTTCTGTCATTGTAAGTCTTTATTTTATTTTTACAAACAAAACCGCCTGGTTATCTATAGTCTTTGATCACAGATGCTATAGTTTGATCCCGTACAAAAATAAACCAACTTGAATTGCACAACTTTTAACACATACTCACTTGTCCGTCTCTAGTAATTTGTTTAAGAGCTTCAGTCCTCAGACATGAAGAAACAAGTTCAAAATATGACAGGCAAAGGGAAATAAACCGACTAAAGCTAAAAAGTTACCGCTTATAATAATGACTAAAACAGTTCACTTCTTGAAAACCTGCAATCTCAAGGAATAAAAAGACAGAGTTAATAGGCCTACTTGTCTCCTAAAAAAATTCAGACTGTTATCTAATATATGTACTATCATACTATTGTAAAAGCAGTCTTGAACTCTTGAATGGAAAACACTGAACACATTCTTTACTTGCAGGAAAAAATCATTGATTCAAAGGAAGTTCTTCAAATTGTGTCATACTTGACTAGTCGATTTCAGTATTTAAATAACGTAGACTTCCTGTTACTTGAACAACACTTTAACCAAGTCTGTAGTGTTACTGCATAAAATTCTATACCTTGAACACGGTAACTCATCTTCCTAAAGCTTCATCTCGACACACCACACACATACAAACATACACACTTGTAGGCTACTTATATACAAAGATTTTAGTCAATTCATGTGACAGCTATTTGTTACACCGGTACAAAAAATTAAAAGAAGGTGGAAAAAAGTGGAAGTCCAAAAATCGTATTCTTAGAACACAAAACTACAGCTATTGGAGTCTTGGAGTTTTCCAACTAGAAAAAGTCATCAGCAATAAACCTAAGGTAAGGTTAGTGGATAAAATTGGCCAGTATGCAGGGGTTGGAGGTTCAGATCCAAATGAGGTTAAAATTTTCCCCACTCTTCCAGGAATGTTGTTACTTTCAGCCCCATGTCTTCGACGGTCTACACAAGTACTCCATCTTCGAAATGTCCACCTCCTATGATGTTATAACTTACTTTTTAAAAATGTTTTTAAAAACGTGAATGGTTCCCCGTAAGGAACAATGTTTTAAAAATTGTGTTATACCTGCTACACTCTATGTTTGTCAGATATAATGCTTTACTTCTTCAACCAGTAAAGGGAGAATCGAATGTCAGTCAAAAAAGTATGTTGTGTCATAATCATTTATAAGTTACACAGAATGTCATGGACATTTCAAAAGAGAAAACAGCCTCTTTTCAAGTCTGTCATGATTATGAAAACACACACACACACACACACACATCTACAATATACTGAAATGTAAAATCTTTCTGTTAACACAGACTCTGGTTGTTACTCGTTAATAATAGATTTATGAGGAAGAAATAGAAGAGAGATTTCCTCACAAAAACTTGCCAAATGCATCTGGACTTTCAAGTTGAATTATGGTTGCAGTCAATATTAACTCACTCAATACAAGACAACAAACTTCATTTGTTAGTTAAAAAAAAAAAAAAAGAAAAGGTTTTTTAAAAACTATTAAACCTTTTTCCCCTCCGCAATCTTCATACATTCACAGGACCGAGTGTATGAGTGTGAGACAGTGTATCATGAATGTCTAGAGGTATTTGACATTTGGTGGAAGCCTGCATTATTGGTGTGTATTTATGTTTTGCCAAAAATGGCTTGTAAAGCCTTTCTTCAAGATACATCCATCCTGCAACATAATGCAGTGCATCCACATCATAATCTGGGAATACTTCCTGCTACTTTCTTTTTCACCCCCCTGCCTTTCAGCTCTGTACACCCAACCCCCTTATATCTCAAGCCCAAACTCCTCTCTCTCTCTCTCTCTCTCTCACACAGCACACATACTAACACACACACACACACACATATGCTCACACATTCACACACATAAAAAAGAAAGCGCAAAAGGGGCATAAGCTCAAGGAAATGACTGCAAGCCTATCCTACTGATAGAAGGACATGCTGGGGACAAAAAGTTCCTTTAAAGTGGACATTTTCTGGCCACACGATGAAAATGTCATCGAAGTGTTTATGATAAAGCAACCCAGTCATGAATAGTACATTTTCCTTCACCTTAGGTACTGTAGCTATAGGATTCTGCTGAAAGCTACATTTGGAGAAGCCAGTTTCAAAACTTTTTCACTGTGCATCAAACCTTCACACATACAGTGGTAAATGCGTTGTTACGCAAGTCCCTGTAAATCAAAACAAACCTTAAAACAGGGCATTATTAAAGTTGTCTTCTTTTGTCTTCACACCCCCCCCCCCAATCCTTCTTCTCACCCCTTGCGTACAACAAACCCCACAGTTCAATCCTCTAGTGCCAGCTTCCCCAACCTCCGCTGCACCCAGGCAGGCATACTACTCGGGCTGCTCCAGGCGAACTTGGGGTTGAATATAACAGCGTAGAGAGCAGCCTGAGCGATCAGCATGGCGATGAAGATCTGCAGTCCACTCAGCTGCTGGCCGATGGCGTACATCATGACCACGTGCACCACGATGTCGAAGAGTGTGCCCAGGGTGGAGTCTAGCTGAATGTCCTTCTTCTTCTCGCTCTTGAACCAGTCCAGGCAGCTCCAGTCGATGATCTGAAGACACAGGGAGGGAGGAGAGGTTGGGGGGGGGGGGGGGGGTAAAAAGAAGGGTCAGTGCTCCCACGGGGAGGTGATAAAAAAAAATGGTGATTAGGAGAAATGTCTAATGTCTCTCGGTCTCTCTTCCCCCCGCCCTGTGTCTGTCTGTCAGTCTGTCTGCCTGCCTGTCTGTTGTCCTGCCTGTTGTCCTGTCAGTTAGTTCGTCTATTTGATTCTCCATCTCTCTCTTTCTCTCTCTCTCTCTCTTAAACACACACACTCACACACACACACAAACACACACATACACTCCCACGTTCCCTTTCAGCAGGCACATTATTTTTCTAAGAGTTTGGAAATGTTATTGGCGTCATCTTGACTGTCTTCTTCTCCTTGGTCTCTTTCTCCCTGACACACAAAGACACACTTATACAAAAATACCCACAACTATACATAAAAGCACATATCCCCCCCCCCTTTAATTTTTTTTCTCGCTAAAAAAGTGGAGAGCATGCTATTGGAATGCCACAATGCCCTTGGTACACAACATACCCACGTCAATGTTCCACTTATGCAACATAATATCTTACAGGGAATTTTACTCATAGAGCAACAAGCACTAACGTCCTTATGTCTCCTCCACTCTCTCACCGTCTTAGCCATGTACGAGTTGACCCATGTGATACAAAAACAGACAGGAGAACAAATACAGAAGAGCTGCAAAAGGCAGGATATGAAAGATCAATAATAAGAAAAAGACAATTGAGATTCTTTGGCCGCGTAAATAGATCAAATGGACTAGAAAAACTGCTGTAAGTGCAGAAATACAGAGGGACAGAAGACCAGGGGAAGACATAGAACAACATACATAGATGGCCTGAGCAACTTTGCAAAAAACAACGCAAAGAGAAAAACGGAGCTGATCGAGAAAACAGACAATAGGAAGGAATGGGGTACCATGATCGTCAATGTCTGCTCCAGACCTGAGGCCTGAAGAAGAAGAAGAAGAAGAAGAAGAGGAAGAGGAAGAGGAAGAGGAAGAGGAAGAGGAAGAGGAAAAGGAAGAGGAAGAGGAGGAAGAGGAAGAGGAAGAGGAAGAGGAAGAGGAAGAGGAAGAGGAAGAGGAAGAGGAAGAAGAAGAAGAAGAAGAAGAAGAAGAAGAAGAAGAAGAAGAAGAAGATACCAAAACTAAAACAAAAGCCTTTCTGTCTCCTCCACTCACTCACCTTCTTGGCCATGTAAGACTTGTCCCAAGTGATGAAGTAGAACATGTGTTGTATGATCTGTATCACAGCCAGCCACTTGTAGCTGCCCGTCAGCAGGAACGAAGACACAAACACACTCAGGGCGTCCACCAGGAAGTACATACGGATTCGAACCAGATCCTTCCGAGGCAGGGTGCGGAATCCACCCATAATCATGGTGTGCGCCACGGCATGGTAAAACTCCAGGGAAAAGAAGAAGAGAAGGCCCACGCCATATAGAGAAGTGTGGATCTCCATGGTGTGACTATGTTCAGTTTGAGTACTGTGTTACAGAAGAGATTGGACAAGTGGGATCTGAAATAAGAAAAAGAAAAAAGAAATTTAGCGATATGAGGATGATAAGTATACCTAATATTTCATATAAAGTGGAGTCCTCTTAAATCGAACACGGTTACTCCAAGAATATCATTAAACCGATACAAATTTTTTAAAATAAAATCCTTGATTCTTTTTTCTACGAGAGTAATTTCTCTAACCCGAGGTTTCAACGGACTCCGCAGCAAAAATTGTTTTAGAAAGCCACACATTGAAAAGAAGAAAAGGAGTTGTTTCAGATAGGTGAATGTCTTAAACACTGTCCTTATACTGAAAAAAAAAACCCGCAAGGAGGGGAAATGTAAGTGGTCGTTTGTACAGATTTGATTGTCTTATACAGCTGTGCTTAGAGCAGGTTCGACTGTATGTATGTATGTGTGTGTGTGTGTGTGTGTGTGTGTGTGTGTGTGTGTGTGTGTGTGTATAATCATATGAACTATAATATTCAATTGCACACATATACATTGCTACCTGTGAAGAATGTTTATTTCTATGTGCATGTACTTTCATAAAAATATCCGCAAAGGCAAAACCAGTTGAGTTGAGCGATTTTGGTCGACTTCGACCTGGGCAAACCTCAATTATAATTGCAGCCTGCATTAATAAGGTAAGCGTACTGTATTTTCTCCCCGTCTTTATTTTCTTTGTTTAGTTTTAGTAAGAGTTCATCGACACTTGCAACACAATAATGTCATATAAGTGCCAAAGATTAGATGTACATGATGTATTACAAAAGAGTAACTGCCAATACAAGCAGATGTACTCGTGCAGTACGTGCTTGCCAACAAGAGCGGTACCACCCGCTAATGACAAATGGGTCATTTGATTTGGTTATGTTGACAGGCGGTGGACATCGCCCGGGAAGTGATAGGTGTTATTTAATGCCGTGCTTAGACATATATATATAATTAATTATTATATACATGCTTAGGTGGGCGGAACCAAAGTTTAAGCCTCTTGATTTAAGGAAGGAAAAAACTGTGGGCGCTGGTTATAAAAAGGCTGACAAGGACTGTTATTGTGTATAGTGACTCGCTGTCTGATCTTGTACGGTGAAAGTACAATTAATATATTAATTAATGTTTTAGCGGGCTGATAAGCGGAATAGTGATGAATGTATTGGGGCAGTAGTTTGGGGAAATGGGCGGTGGTGGTTGGCGGCAGAAAATGAGGAGTTTGTAGGTGTGAGTTTGCGTGTGTGTGTATGTGTGTGTGTGAGTGTGTGTGTATGAGTGTGTGTATGTGTGTGTGTATGTGTGTGTGTGTGTATGTGTGCAAGTGTGTGTGTATGTCAGTGTATGTGTGTGTGTGCGTGTGCATGTGCGTGTGTGTGTGTTAT